CGGGGCCCTGAGCCCCGTAGGGTTTGAGCTCTACTGGCGCTGGTGTCTGGACTCGGACCGCCTTCTGCCCTCAAACCCTGTGCTGCTTCGGTCTTGGGCTGCGCACAGTGAAATCATCCTCCGCCTCGGAGCCCTTCCTGCTTTTTGAAGCTTTGTCTCATAACTGAATTTCAGACATTAGGAATCACAAATAAAGACAATATGTTATTCTTACAAACAAAACAAAAATGATTCTTTATAAGAATTTTTTTTTTTTAAACTAGTCTCACTCTGTCGCCCAGGCTGGAGTGCAGTGGTACACTCACGGCCACTCAGCCTCGACCTGCTGGTCTCAGGTGATCCTACCTCCTCAACCTTCCAAGTAGCTGAAACTACAGGCACGTGCCACCACGCCTGGTTAATTTTTTGAGTTATTGTAGAGATGAAGTCTCACCAATTTTCCCAGGCTAGTCTTGAACCTGTGGGCTCTGGCTTCTCAAAGTGCTGGGGTTATAGGCGTGAGCCACCGCACCCGGTCTATAAGAATCCTTGCAAGAACTAAACTTGTGACCACGTCTTTTCAAAACTACCGTTTTCTGAACATGCCAATGATAATGGCAGGGCAAGGGGGTCTTAAATTTCTGCTCAAAGAAAAAAAAAGATTTTTTTCCCCCTTAAAATTCAGCCTCAAAGAACGGCCTCCCATCGAGTTCGCGAATCCCGCAGAGACCTGGAGGCTACGGATATGGAATAGGAAGTCGCTTTTCTGGACGGCCCCACACGTCCTGTGCTCCTGCTGGGGGACATCGGTGGTCCTGACGCCTTTCAGCGGCAGGTCCAGTAGCATCCCGAGGCCTGGTCCAGCCGCCAAAGGGAGGTCTTGAACACCCTTCATCCGCACTCGCCCAGGGAGGTACTGGGTGGGGGTCAAGGGAGAGGCGAGCCAAAGTTATTTTGGGGCTCTTCTGGAGTGACCCGGAACTTGGATTAGGCCAAAGAAGCGACAACTGATGACACCAGTGGGATAGAAGTTTCTTCGGTGCAACTCCAAAGCTGCAAGATAACACCCTCTGGTCCTCTCCCATCCACAGCCCTATCTAATTTGTCTGGAGCAGGTCGGGCATTTATACATTTTAAAAAATAAAAAAGTTTTCTAGAGGACCAGAATGTGCTGCAAGAGTTAAGAACCACTGATCTGGGTGGTGTCCTATAGAATTGCGAATACTTTCCTGTGTGGTCCCTAAAATTGAGTTCATATTCTGGTTTATGCCCAGACTGATAAGAGTCTTAAGTCTCTGGTGATTAACTCTTCCTAGGGTGGTTGGACACAAATTTGTTTTGCTTTTTAGGCAAACAGGGAAAAAGCAGAAGATTTTTCTTATACTGTATCTGCTTTTTAAAAAAATTGTCTTCAGCTGAAAATAATCCTCATACCAAAAGTGGCACATTCTGCTACCTTTTACTTGCTAGTTACAATCCAGCCTCTATCAGCACTACTAGAACTTGACACTGGGGTGCATGAGTGATGGGCTGAGCTCTTTTATTGTATTTTATTTTTTGGACAGAGATGGAGACCCAACCATGCCTCTGACATCTCAAAAGAATTTGTTGCTTCATTTCTCATATTCTTAGAAGTATGGTATAAGAGGACCTTAACAAACATCAGCAAACAACATTTTATACCAACTGTAAATAATAACATTTAGCAAGTTTGTGATTTTTTTTGATTGCTAATGTTGTTTATGTTTTGACTGACTTTACAGTCCTGCCGTTAACCCACTGGGGTATGATAATTTAGATTTGACATGGAATGTACTTTTCAGAATAAACCCATGTATACAGTTAAGCCCTATTTGATCTTATCTGAATCATAATTAAGACTGCCAACAATTATTTCAGCAATAACTATTCATTGAGATTTTGAGATATTTCAAGATAGCTGGTTCTAGCACAGATTGGAAAACAAGTTTTTTTTAAAGAACCAAGTTTCCCCGTTGGTTATTTTTACTTGGCAATTTCCTTTCTATTTGAAACATCTCATTGAAAGCCAATTTTAACTCTTCTCTCACACTTCATTTAATTCTTCCTCAGGCAGAGCTTACTAGGTCTGTTAGCCTACAGGACTGTGGCTCAGATTATTAATCAACATGTCAGTACTTGAAAGAGTCATTAGTATTTTGCTTTTCATGCTCTCTTATGCAGTTAACAAGACAATTACACATTTCTTTCATACCCCACACACAGGTTCAAATGGCATCAAACAAGCCAGGAGGACACAGGTCACCCTACCCATCATACAAAGAACCCGTGGAAATCAAATCTCTGAGCCCAATGAAGGATAGAGAGAATAATGTACAATTATTGGTATTATGTTGCTTTCCCCCAGTGCAGCTGACCATCTGCAGTATTTTTACAGTCTTTATAGCTGTCATGAGTACAGATTTATTACATGTCCACTAAAAGCTTAGCACTCTTCTAGGTAATAGGAAAATAACAGTGAAGAAAATAGACCAAATATCTGCCCTTGTGTCATTTACATTATATTCTCTGTACTGGTTAAACCAAGAAGGAGACTTTGTTTCTTTCCTTACTCATCTGGGAGAGGAAGGAACAAAGGAGAGTATGGATAAACCTGGAAATAGGGTCGGAGAATATCAGAGAAGGAAGCCTTCGGGAAGGTGAAGATATGGAAGCCAGTAGTCATATTGTAAAAGGACACAATTCCAGCCTCATAGTCCAGGAAAACTCCCACAACCAGGGGCTGCTCGCTCAGATGAAGGGAAGTTGAGGGAGAGGTCAGTGCTATATAGCCTCTGTTTTTGCACAGCCCGAGTGTCCAGAATCCAGATTGAGGCTCCTGCTTCATGTCAGAGCCCCTCTGCACAGTTTCCAAACAAACTCCTAAAACCCACCCAGTTCCTTCTCCAACATCCACTTCAAAGTAGTGTCTTCCTGAGGTGAAGCCTTCACAACCTAGAACACAGTGGAAGGCATTGAATCTCCTAGAAGAAGGATCAAGATTTCCCTGGGGGTATCCACGAGTCACTTGTCTCCTATCTTCAGACAGAACTAGTTCATGATGAGCTGTTTCTGGATCCAGAGTCACACTGACTGCAAAATTAAAAAATAAGTAAGACACTTGTTTTGGTGCTGAGCCACACTTTATTTTTAATAAAACCAGCCTGTGTCCAAATCCAACACTGTTTCTAACTAGTTGTGTGAGGTTAGTCAAGTCATTTAGGGTTCTGAGCCTCAGTTTTGTTAACTATAAAGTGGAAGTCATATCTACTGGAGAGAAAGGTGGGGAGGATTGAGTGAACTAATGTTGGCTTAATGCTTGGCAAAATGCCATATTTATTAGGTACATGGTAAGTGCCTAATAAGTAAAGTTAACAAAAAATATCATCAGTTGTTATCTTCATTATCATCACCATCTTAGTCATCCAGAGAAACCAAGGACCAGAACTAGCCCATTAATATGGTTACTGTTCTGTCCAAAGCCCTTTTTCTCCTTTGTGGGACTTCCAAGAAATCATGAAATAGTGGAGCTGAAAGGTGTCCTTTCCCTTCTCCACATAATAAACACCAACACTGAGAATTAGGGATGGAAGATGACTCAGATAATGTGATAGCTGGTTACTGGAGGGCCCAGGATTTCATGACACATGCCTAGTACCATGACCTTTAAGTGTAAGTTCCTCTTTCACCTTTCAGATGTTTCAGTATAATATAATAATACACCAAGGAACAATATACATGAAAAATATCAGACCAGAATCAAGACAGAAAAAAGTATAAGCCTAAAGAGAGATATTAGACAGACTGCAATTTTAAAAATGAAAAAAGGATAATAGGATGTTCTAACATGAGTTAAGAAATAACTTTGCTAACTGGATTAAACATTTATCAGTTGGGCTGTAGTAATAATCAAGTATTCAGGAACTCTTCTTGTGCTGGTTGTTCTTTATTTGCCTCTCCAAGTCATTCCCCCACCTTTCTCTGCCTTGTTTTGTGCCTAGGAAGGATGACCCCCATGGGACATATCAACTAGGGTTTCTTTCTTGTCTTCCATTTGGTTCAGCCAATGGGAAGCACTAGAGGAGACCACAGGGCACAAAGAAGCAGAATTGGGAGTATTTAGTATCCCAGTCTCTCCCCACTGGCTGTGATTTGGAGGGTCTGCATTCCTCTGCACCTGGTCACACTCTTCTTTAGTTATGGCTACTTCTATCTGCCTCTTCTATCCCAGAGGAGGTGATGGCTCCCTAGAAACAGGTAGGGAGCCATTGTGGTGCTTAATTGTTCCTCACTGATTTCTCTACTCCTCATCTTTTAAATACTTTCTCTTTAAAACTCTTTTCAATCAGCCCTTATTATAAGCCTGACTCATAGAAGTTTGGGTTTCAATTTATATTATGTGGCTGGATACTGTGGCTCGCCCCTATATTCCCAGCACTTTGGGAAGCCAAGGTGGGATGATTGCTTGAACCCAGAAGTTCGAGACCAGCCTAGGCAACTGTGAGACTTTGTCTCTACAAAAAAAAAAAAAAAAAATCAAAAAATTAGCCAAGCATAGTGGCACATGCTTATAGTCCCAGCTACTCAGGAGGCTGAGGTGGAAGGACTGCCTGATCCCAGGAGGTTGAAGCCACAGTGAGTCACAATCATGCGACTGTACTCTAGCCTGGGCAACAGAGTGAAACTCGACTCAAAAAAAAAAAAAAAAAAAAATCATATTACTGAACAATTCAAGAAAATGCAAGTTAAGAAATTAAAATGTTTACAGATTGAGAAAAAATATCAATTGGATTTAAAAAATTCCACCGTTATATTGTTTGTAAGTGATACATGTAACAAAAATATATTGAAAGGATAAATAATAAAATCACATAGCTACTGATAGCTGTAGTAGTTATGTAACTATCAAAAAGTATTAGGGCAAAGCATTACTAAAGGTGAAAAGTGTTACTTAATACAGATAAAAAGTACAAAAAGTATTGTATTAGGTCAAAGCATTATTAAAGGTGAAAAGAGTCCCCTAATAAAGATAAAATGTACAAGTTACTAGTAAGATATCACAGTTCTAAACATGCATGCACTAATAGTCTCAAAATATATAAAGTGAAAATTGTAGAATTATAATGAGAAATTGGCAACTCTATAATCATTGTGAGATATTTTAACATTCTTCCCTTCATAACTGACAGATCAGGTAGACCAAAAGACAGAAAAAAAAAATGAAGATATAGTAGATTTGAACAACCCAACAAGTCTAATCTAATAGTCATATATAAAGCTTAGCAACTAACAATCAGAGAATATGTACTTTTTAAAGTATAGATGGAAAACGTACTAAGGTACTAATTGAGCAACTATTAGACAGAAAACAAGTCTGAACAAATTTCAGTGAATCTGTATTACAGACATCATTTTCTTTAACCTCAATATACTATAATCAGAAACCAATAATAAAAAAAATCACTAAAAATATTCTAAATATTAGAAAATGTACAATACTTCTAAATCATACTATGAAGATGCACAGAATTGAAGAGTAAGATGCTATGTATAAAAACAAATAATGAAGCTAAAGTGGAATTTTGAGGAAAATATATAGCCTATAATGCTTCTTTAAAAAAGGTGGGGGGGGGCAAATGTGGTGGCTCATACCTGTAATCCCAACACTTTGGAAGGCAGACACAAAAGGATTGCCTGAGCCCAGGGGTTCAAGACCAGCCTGGGCAACTTCGTGAGACCTTGTCTCTACAATACATAAAAATTATTAACTGGGCATGGTAGCACACACCTGTAGTTCTAGCTACTTGGAAGGCTGAGGCAGAAGGATCACCTGAGCCCAGCAGGTAGAGGCTGTGACGGCCATGAGTGTGCCACTGTACTCCAGCCTGGGCATCAGAGTGAGACTGACTCAAAAAAAAAAAAAAAAAAAAATTGGCTAGGCGATGGTTCATGCCTGTAATCCCAGCACTTTGGGAAACAGAAGCTGGAGGATCATTTGAGGCCAGGAATTTGAGACTAGCCTAGGAAACAGAGTAAGACTTTGTATCTATGAAAAATAAAAATTAGCCAGGCATGGTGGTATGTTCCTGTAGTCCTAGTTACTTGGTAGGCTGAGGCAAAAGGATCACTTGAGCCCAGGAAATCGAGTCTGTGGTGAGCCATAATCATGCCACTGCACTCCAGCCTAGGTGAAACAGTGAGACTCTGACTCAAAAACAATAAAAATAAGCTGAAAAATAATGAGCTGAGCATCCAACTTAATTTAAAAAAAGAACAAAGAAACTCATAGATAATTTTTTAAAAGATAAAAATAAATCAAGGAAATTAAAGAAAACAAGAATGTAATAAAGAAGAAAAAGTCAAAAGTAACTTCTTTGGAGAGAGAAGACAAAATTGGATTACAAACTTTTTTTAATATTAAGAAAATTTTTGATAATTGTTATGCTTCTAATAAAATTGAAGGCATTGACAAAATAACTTCCTAGAAAAAATATTTCTTAGTATAACTCATTCAAAAGAAAAGAAAGCATGGGCAGACCTAATATTAAAGAAATGAAATCAATAGTTTAAAAAATCTACCCACATATACTGAAACATACATGCTTATCACATAAAAATGGGTCTTGTCCTTGTCAGTTTTACAGACAATTCTACAAGTCAAGGGATGGATTAATACAATTTCATACCATACTTTCCAAAGAATAAAAAATTACAGCACCATCTTACAGATGTAGATAGAAATTCTGTATAAAATAATATAACAAACCAAACTTTATGTATGCATCTATATATTAACTATGTATACATTATATGTTATATAAATTATATATGGATATAACAACTGGAAAGTTATTCCAGCAGTGTTATAATATTCAAGTGCTAGATAGAGCCTGAAGTTCTATCAGAGATATGGTTACGTATATTTATGGTATACTTATAAAATATTAGGTAGCTTTAAAATATAATGAGTGACATAGAAAACACATTCTATATATTACATGTCTGTGTAAGTAGAAAGATATATTCTCATTACTTGGAGAAGTAGAATTGGAGAGGGGTAAAAGAAACCTTGAACTTTTTCTTTTATCTTCTATATAGTTTGATAAATTGTATTTGTATTACTTGTGTCTTAAAACATATTTTAATAAACAAGGTTTAAAAAATGCAAAATATTTAATTAAATGATAAGCCCATTTAAGAAACAGTTTGCTTTGAACCATGTTGTAATGTTTTCTGTAAAAGAGGAGAGTAGGCAAATCAACTCAGTGAAATCTGGAAAAGATTTACATTAAGTCCTATTTTTTCCTTCCTATCGTCTTTATAGGATCAAATACAGAGTGCTTTAGTTTTTGTTGTCTGATGTTATTGACTTGAGGGGAATACAGATCTATAATCCCTTACCTGAAACCCCTAGGGCCAAACAGATTTTGGGAATTCAAAACATTTTGAAGTTATAAAAGCAATACAATATATATATACATATACTCCAAAATCCACCAGGGTCTAAGGCAGAACCCTGTAACTAAATGTATCAGTATTTCTGCAGCAAAACATGCCTTTAAATTAGGTGGGATAAGTAAAGATTGTAAATAGTCTCATATCAGTCCAATTCAGGTTTAGCCACTGTGGTAGACATGACTTTTCATGATCCCTAACTCTTGGTGTTCACATCCTTGTAAAATTCCTTCCCTTTGAGTGTGAACAGGACATGTGAATTGCTTCTGATCAACAGAATATGGCACAAATGAGGGAATAAAACTCCTATGATTACATTTTATTATGTAAGACTCCATCTTGCTAAGAGATTTGCTCTAGAGGCTCTGTCTCCTGAGCTCTCTTTAAAGAAATAATTGACCATGTTGATAGCCCACGTGCAAGGAGCTGAGGGGTGACCTCTAGAAGCTGAGGGCAGCCTCTAGTCAACAGCCAGCAAGAAGCCAGGACCCTAAGTCCTGCAATCATAAGTAAATGAATTCTGCCAGCAAAATGAGTGAATTTGAAAGGGTATTCTTTCTCAGTCTCTAGCCTGCAGATGAGTATATAACCCGACCAATGCCTTATCTGCAACCTTGTGAGACCTTAAGCGAAGGGCCCAGCTAAGCTGCACCTAGATTCCTGACCCACAAAAACTGTGATGTAATATGTGTGTTGTATTAAGCCACTAAATTGCAATTTGTTTGTAGCAATTGATACCTAATAAAGTCACCAAATCATCTCAGGTTTTCAGATTTTGCAGCCAATGAATCATAATATAATTTTCTATTTCCAGGGATTTTTTTATTTTATAATTATCGATAAAAGAGTATGGAGGTATAGCAAGTATTAACTAAGAAAAATCAAGGAAGCAGGAAGCTCTGGCTTTGGAATCAGTAAAACTTGTTTTTTGCCATGGTTCTAACGTATGATCTGTGTTACCTGAATCAAGTTCCCAAAATCAGAGTCTGTAATACTCACCTACCTTTCTTGCATTGCTCTAAGAGTTGAATAAAAATATTAACAATAAACACTATGGTCAGATCTAGTATCACATGTGGCCCCGATCAAGGACCAGATGCTATGCTAAGCACCTTATATATACTGATGCATTTAATTTTCATGACAACTCAATGGAGTGGGAGATGTTAATATTTTCATTTTTCAGATGTGGAAACTGAGTAACATGAAGTTGCCTGGAATAACATGACTAATACTTGGAAGAGCAGGAATGTGAAGGATTTGCACAGATCACCAGCATACAATGCTCACATCTAAGTATTGTATCATACTAAATGGGAGAGTGTGACAGCGCTACTGAATATAACTAACCTCTCTGCCTATGAGCCTGCCCAAGAACAGGTTGTAAACATAGTTACTATTTAAGTCCCCTTCCATTTGTAGCATTTAGAAATTCTTGAGTTCACATACCTTGATAATTCCTTAACATTTTCTTAACATCAAAGTAAAGCTCAGACACACTGCACATCGTATGAAGCTCCAAGGCGAAGGGCTCTGGTACCTCCAGCTTCACAGCCCAACTCCTGGAATAAACAGAGGCCAGAGATTTCTTTAGTGGTAGAATCCATTCAGCTCTATTTTCCCTCACCCCTTACCCCCTGCATTCATATACAACTTACCTGCTTAAAGTGTCATTCACATTCTATAAAGAAACAAAAACAAAAGGTGAGCATAAGAATATTAGTATTTCATGGGGCTTGGCATGTGGAGCTGTTCTATAAATGTTCCTTCCAAAAAAGGAAAGAGAATGACCCCAGGTTTAGATATTGATGCAATTCCAACCAGCTTCTGGGAGACTTAACATGGCAGGATTATCAACCTCTGTTTTTGTAATCTTTCTTGCTAACGCCCATAGAATTGTTTGGGAAGAGGACCAGGAGCTTTGCCCATGCTCCCTCAGGCAAGACTTGCTTTTGGTGATCTGCTTTCTTTCAGAGTGATCTCATACTAGAGATCACTTAGTACAAAGATATTAAGTAATGAATTCATCATGCACAGCCCTAAGACTAGTTCACTAAGATGGTGGTAACACTTGGTGGTGAAACAGTCATGCTGTACTCTTAACCTTATAGTGTAAGCACCAGTCTGTTAATTGGAACTATAGTTAACAGCTCCAGTTGTTTATCTTAATGGACTGGATCCTTCACACAGTTGTAGAATGCCCCATAATAGTCCAGAGCAAGGGTTTTACAAGTAAATCAGGGAAATGGTTATCACTCATTTTGACTGTCCGAGTTTATCAGATATTAATCACCTGGAGGAATATTTCAGGAGGAAGTCTGAAGGTCAGAGTGCTGTGCACATGAGCCAAGGGGCAAATGGTAGCAAAAGTTATCCCATGGTTCCATTTGGCCAAACTATGCTCACTGAGGAGGTGTGTTTTTCTAATTAACATAAAGGTACATTATAGACTAGTGGAAGTCATGCTGATGACATTGATGTATATCTAAAAGAAACATTACTGTAAATTCCTCACATTGATGTGCCATTTTTAAGTAAAGGTAGGAAGGCCCTGACGATTTTCCCATGCTTTCTTACCATTCTCCTCCTAATAGCTCAATAACAGATACCTCCTTTCATTGTTCCAAATGCACAGAGCCTCACCTGTAGCAATTTCTGGGCTGAACCCTGACATTTTTTCTCCAGTTCCAGGATGTGGCTTTTGAGTTCCTGACTCTTCTGTACCAGAGTGGTCTCACGGTCCCTCAGTTTCCTCAGAACCTGCTCTTCTTCTTTCTCTAGCCTCCAGAGGTAAGACTTTTCTTCTTCTTGTAGGAAACTCTGGAGATTCTTAAAGTCAGACTGGATTTTTTGTCTCTGAATTTGTATCTTCTCCTAGAGTAAAGAAAGTATGGTCAAAGGCAGAAACAAATCAAATGACCAACTTATAGATGAATGGACAAACAAAATGTGGTCTATAGATACAATGAAATATTATTCAGCCTTAAAAATGAATGAAAGTCTAACCATGATACAACATGAATGAAACTTGAAGACATTCAGGTGAAATAAGCCAGAAACAAAAGGACAAATATTACAAGATTTAACTTATATAAGGTACCTACAAGAGTTAAATTCCTAGAGACAGAAAGCAAATATTGGTTACCTAGTGTAGGAGAGAAGAGAGAATGGAGAGTTACTGCTTAATGGCTACAAAGTTTCAGTTTGGAAGATTAAAAAAAACTCTGGAGATGTTCATGGTGATTGATTGGCTGCATGATGATGTGAAAGTACTTAGTGCCACTGAAATGTACACTTAAAAGTGATTAAAATGGTAATTTTTATGTTACTTATATCTTACCACACACACACACAAGTACCACCCATCAGCTACTAGGACATTATTTTCCCATGAGTCATTCAAGCTGGAAGAATGTTCAAGTTTCCTGCTTCAGAGTCATGCCTGAGAGGCAGGCACTAAAATATGGGAGAGGTTGTCCCCGATTCTCTATAGTCACCTGATTAATCTTCTTCTCCCTCAGCCAAGATACAGGAGAAAGATGAGGCAGGAGTGATAGATAATTTAATTGTGGAACCAGGGCAAAGTTTAAATACTTTGTTAATTATAAGGATTAAAAAAACAACAATTGTTTACTTAGGATGTAAGAAAGTCTTTCTGACTCTGAGAGAATTTCTTGAAGCTTGCAATGAACATCACCAAGACTGAGTCTGAAGATAACCAGGAGAGCCCATGATTCTTGGTAGGGGGTGAAGGGAGGAGATCTGGTGTGACAGGCATTTATTATGGTTAACTGACAAATATTCATCCATTAGCCATGAGTCATCTTAAGGATTCATATATATCCTATGGACTTAGCTTCTACTTGAGGAGATATAAAATTGTGATTTCCATTAGTGCTTTCTAAATTCATGCCAGTGTCTCTATGACTATGATGTTATGGTGCAAGGGTCATTGATCTAGGATGAAATGGTATTTTTGTGTAGGAGACAGGTACAGCTTTAACTCTTGTAGTGACAGGGTTTCCATGTATGTTAGTTACAATCAAGGTCTTCCCTACTGTCAAACATTCCAGAAATGAAGGAAAAAAAAATGTATTTGGGAGTTCAAGATCAACGTACATCCACAAACAAAGGATCAGGGCAAAGGTTGAAAAGGGACCCTAAAAGAGGCAAAATAGCTATCTATTTGGTAGGATTTGACAGAAAGTTGATGTATTCCATAATATTTAAATATATTTAATAATAAATATTTCGATAAAGGAATGCATCTTTGATAATGTGGAGACTAGTCAGCCATGGGAATAGTCTGAGACCCTTACAATTTGTAGTTGCAAGTGTGTAGGTTCTTGCAGCAGTTACGATGCACCTCATAAATCAAGTAGATTTCCTTTATCAGCTCATTAGTTTGGGTAGTATGAATTTCAGTGTGAAGTAATCCTGTTTCCTAAGTGTTCACAAAAGTTGGTTTCTGAACCTATAAAGTTGGAGACAGACCCTGCACTGTGGTGAATGTACCAATGTAATAAGTACAAGCCTGCTAACTAGGAAGGCATTTAAAATATGAAACCTAGTCAAGGTTCATTCTAGATAAATAGGTATACCAATTCTGCTTCTCCTGACTCAGAAGAGTGAAGAGGTTGGTGATAAATTTCCATGCATGTAAACTAAGGGCATAAACACAAATAATAGTTTCTTCTTTGGGTTTTCTCTATTCAGTTTAGTTTAGTGAGAATAAATCATCATTGTGCTTCGCTCCAATCATCCTCCATACTTAAACTCTAGAATGGAAAACAGATTGAGATAATGAACTCAGATTCTTACTTTCCATTCAGTTGTATGCATTGTTGTGAACATCATCTGCTCCATACATTCCTCTTCAAGTTGCTTCAATTTTGTCATAGCTTTCTGGAGTTTTTCCTGAAGGAAAAAAAAATCTGACTCTTCATTAGGGACCTAAGGGGAATCCCATCCTTCCAAGATATGTTAGAATAGTAATAAATATTTATTAAGTACTCCCGGTTTTTTTTGTTGTTGTTTGTTTTGCCAGAGAGCATGCTAAAGGCTATATGAACAGTAATGTATTAATCCCCTTGGCATTCTTGAACAGTTGATAGTATTTTAAACATCTTTTCTGTGCTGTAGAAAATGAGGTTTAAGAAGGGGTTTAAATAACTTGCCCAAGGGACTATAACTGGCAGGTGGCAGAGCTACAATTACAACTTCATCTGCTGATTGGGAGCCTGAGCTATATCCACCACAATAGTCTTGGCAGGGAAGACAGTCTTGTTACATATATACAAAATAAAAAATTTTCCTTTGAGTCAGGGTCTCACTCTGTTGCTCAGGCTAGAGTACAGTGGTAAAATCATGACTCACTGCAGCCTCAGACTCCTGGGCTCAGGGGATCCTTCTGCCTCAGCCTCCTGAGTAACTGGGACTACAGTCACATGCCACGATGCTCCACTAAGTTTTTAAATTATCTTTGTAGAGAAGATGTCTCACTATGTTGCCTAGATTGGTCTCAAACTCCTAGGTTCAAGCAATCTTGCCTTATCCTACCAAAGTGTTGGGACTATAGGCATGAGCCACCATGCCCAGGCTTAGACAAGATAATAATAACCTAAAAGAAGCTTTTATAAAATAATGTGCTGAACCAAACATAACAAAACCAGAGTGTCTGTCACACATGGAATATTGTAGATATTATGGTTGAGTCAGGAAAACCCACGATGACAGCTGAAATTATGGGAAACAGTTAATGGAAGAGGTAATCACTGATATATTTTGATAAATGGCATCATGAAACCAATTTTAAATGATTTTGTATTGATGTCAAGCTTTTAGGTTATTTTTCAAAATATGTTCTCATATTTTACTGAAAGCAATTTGAAGCTGATCCAGATTGCTAAGTGTGGTTAGCGCTTAAAGAATTGTCTCAGTTGTGTGTGGTGTGCACCTGTAGTCCCACCTACTCAGGAGGCTGAGGCAGGGGGATCTCTCGAGCCCCAGAGTTTGAAGATGTAGTAAACTAGGAACCTTTCACTGTACTCCAACCTGGGTGACAGAGTAAGACCTCATCTCTTTAAAAAACAGTCTCCTGTCTTCTGTAAACCCAAGTATACTCTTAATTCTCAGGTGTTCTCAGGAAATGGCTTTATGTTAACCAATTTAGCAAAAGACAATTTGGTCCTTGCTATATGCCAAGTGTTATTCTATGCTTTACATAGTTTAATGTCCTTAAAGCTTATAACAATCCCTAAGTATATGTGTTAGGAAGAGAGGAGACTGTGATTATCCCCATTTACTGAAGGGGAAACCAAGGCATGAAGACATTAAACAACTTGATTAAAATTGTCAATCCCATAAATGGCAGAACTAAGATTTCAACCTAAGCAATCTGGCATCCGAGGCTCATAACTATTAGCCTGAGCTGCTCCTTTTCTTACTACTTGGTGGGAATGTAATTCAAATGGGAATATCTCCATCACAGTTATTAGCTGCTCCATGGAGTTTAGGAAAGAGCTGCTGTGTGCTGAGTAGTAGTCAGGATTAACATGTCCTTACGAAGGACTTGAAGCCTTCATAAAGGCCACCCCCACCTCATGGAGGAGAAAACAAGGAGTCTCATACTGGGAACATTTTCCCCAAATCTAGGCAGAACAAAGAAGGAATGAGGACATCAAGATTATGCCCCTACTTCATGCTGCCACAGTGAAGGGCCACCTTCCTTAACATGCGCTCTAGAGAAAAGCCGAGGAGTCTCTCAAAACCTTTCTCTCTGCTTTTCCTTACACAACCAGCTTCCCAAAATCTTTGAGATGCTTCCTAAATCTTGCGTAAAACTGCCCTCTCCTCCCCTTCTTATAGGGTTAGTTAGAATTTTACTCCTTCATATTGCCTTTATTTTGGCAGTGCCAGAGTGATCTTTCCAATGGCATCAATCTATACTCCCCAAATGAAATTTTTCCAGTGGTAGATATCACTCTGAGCTAGGATTTAGACTCTGAGCTTATATGAAGTTTCTAGGTCCTGACTTTCTTTCTTTTTTTTTTTTTTGAGTTGGAGTCTCACTCTGTCATTCAGTCTGGAGTAAAGTGACACGCTGTTTACCAATAATTTACATTAGGGTAACATAAGTTTTTGACTGGTTACACATTGTTTTTTGTATCACAAATTCCAGGAACTGGTAGATAACTGGGTAAGGCAGCTAGTCAGGATCAAAATACTTTTACAATTGCCTCCAGTTTAAAATGGGTGAGAGGTGGGTGTCTTGACTGAAGTCCCATACTTATGTCTCTCTGGACCTAATAAATTTTGCATACCTTACTTCCTCCCTTCTCGACTTGCTGAGCTAAGGTGATCCTTCCGTCTTAGCCTTCCAAGTAGCTGGAACTACAGGCATGCGCCACCATGCCTGGTTAATTTTTTGATTCACTGTAGAAATGAGGTCTTGCCAAGTTGCCCAGGCTAGTCTCAAACCTGTGAACTCAGGCAATCCTCTTACCTCGGCCTCCAAAAGTACTGGGATTATAGGCGTGAGCCACTCAGCCTGGACTCTGACTTTCTTTCCTATTAATTACATGCCTTTTTCCTGCACACACATCCTGACCTGATCATGGTGAGTTAGAAAAATCTTCCACAGCTCTGCCTTTCCACTTGTGGTGCCCAGGATGCCCTGCAGGTGGTTAGATTTATGTGTTCCTCAGGAGTCACTTCTGGGTTGAATCACTCCCAACCACTCAAACCACAGGGGGCTCCAGGGCAGTCATTTTTGCTGTTTGTCTTCTATACTAAAATATGGGACACCTAAAAGACAGTGAATTTTTCTCTGCTGTGTTTTCAGACCATACTACATGACCCTGTACATTGTGGTTTCTCAAGTTATATAACATATAACAATTACTATATATATCTGATATATAACACTTCTCAATTTATACAACATAAGCAAAAAAAAAATGCAGGTGTTTGGTTTGAGAATGATGTGTTCTAAGGCAGGGAGAAGTTTATCAAAACACAAATGGATAGGGACAAGAGTTCAGCTATCCCATTTAAGATCAGGATAGACAGTTCAAACAATTCAGTAAGGACATATCATAAACTATTTTTCAGAAAAATGACATTATGAAAGCTGTATTTCAGGGTCATAACCTAAGGTTTCAGGCTAACTAAGCTCAACTCACTCACCTTGTACCCCTGGCATACGTCTTCAACAAGACCTGTGGTGTGCCCTTTGTGCTGTGGTGTCCGCTCACAGCGCCAGCAGATGAGCTGCCCCTCATCTTCACAGAACAGGTGGAGTTGCTCTCCATGTTCCTCACATGACATTTCATTATCCACTTCTTTGATGGCTTCAATGAGGTTTCCCAGTTGCCTGTTGGGTCGAAGGCTATTCATATGAAATGGGATCCTACACTGGGGACAGCAAATCTTCAGCCTCACTTGCTTAGAGCCTGCGTTCTTAAAGAAGTCCATTATACACAAGTAGCAGTAGCTGTGTCCACAGGTGATGCTCATTGGGTTAGTCATCAGGTTCAGGCAGATGGAGCAGGTGGCTTCCTCCCGCATCTTCTGGGTGCTAGTGGTTGAGGCCATAGCTTTTCTTGAAAAGCTCCAATATTGTAACTAGTGATGAAGATGAAACAGCCAAAATGTTCTCGTGGTGGAAGTACACCTTGTACTTCTGTGTGATGAGCTGGTTGCTACTGGCCTCCACAGGCCTTGAAGTGATCAACCTAAAAGGAAGAAGATGAGGCAAAATTAACATAAAAGAGTTTGTGGTGTGTCAAGTTTGAGATTATATTCAGGCAGCAAAGATTCACATTGCACTGATGAGCAGTAGTTACAACTGGATTTTAAAGGAAAAGAAGAGGAAGTTCCTAAGCTGTTTACCAATAATTTACATTAAGGTAACATAAGTTTTTGACTGGTTACACATTGTTTTTGTATCACAAATTCCAGGAACTGGTAGATAACTGGGTAAGACAGTTAGTCAAGATCAAAATACTTTTACAATTGCCTCCAGTTTAAAATGGATGAGAGGTGGGTGTCTTGACTGAAGTCCCATACTTATGTCTCTCTGGACCTAATAAATTTTGCATACCTCACAGATTTCAGACTACTGTGAGCTATTTTTATTTTTTCAAAGTCTCTCAGAAAAAAGAAATGGATTGGACTTTAGAGTATGCCTAAAGATCTAGCTGTGTAGCTAATACAGTAGTCACTATTGTGAGTGGTCATTTAAATTTAACTTAATGAAAATTAAATAAAATTAAAAATTTAGTTTTTCAGTTCCACTGACCACATTTTGATTGCTTAGTAGTCACATGTGGCTTGTAGCTATGTAACAGCCCAGATTTAGAACATTCCATCACTGTAGAAAGTTATCTTGGACCAAGTGCTGAAAGAATGCAGGCTTCTTTACAGAAGAAGAAATACAGGCTTCCTTACAGAAGCTGCAGCAAGTGAGATATCTCAGTGAGGCAGTGTGAAGCTCTTTCCCATTCTAACTAACATCAAGAATAATTAATACCAGAATTACCTCTTTGTAACTGGTAGTAACATTCAGGTAATTCTGTACTATACAGATTCCACTGAAGGAGTACAGAGAACTTCGCCCCAAAATATGGCTCTCCACTATCATGAGTATTTTGAATTAAAAGCCATTAGAGATTAACAGATGCTGGAAGTGACTTTTCCTCTATCTACATAAAGACCAGCCAGGCTCACAGATGAGAGCAAGTATTTTTCCTTTCTCTTCCTGTTATCTCATTATTTGTTGGAGAAAAAAGGAAGAATGTAACCAGACCTAATCATAATTTTTCAAAAAATAATGTCTGTCTCAGGCTCATTCAATTTCCAAAGCGAACCAATTACAAGCTAATCTCTGTTCCCCCATCCATTCATCCTCCTAAATATCCATTTATTCTCCCTAGTAATTATTTATTGCCCCTCAATAGAATTACAATATTCCCCATCATCCCCTTCTTCTTTGGAATAAGGCTATTTAAGTATTTGAGCCCCATTGAGATAAGGGGTAATCACTCCCATGTACACGTTAATAAATTTATATGTCTTTTCTCCAGTTAATCTGTCATTTGTGAAGTTTTAGCTAACATTCAGAGGGGAAAGGGAAAGTTTTCCCTGGGTGCTTGCAGGATCATGAGAAACAAATTTGACTCCACTTTGTCCTCCACCCCTACCCTCACCCTATAAGAATAAACAGCTCCAGGTTAATAAAATCTTGGTGGAGACATAACCAGGAGGCTGCTAAAAGTAACCAAGGCAACCAGAAAAATCAGAAGAAAAGGTTTATCTTTTTTGTGTCTCCTCCCTAAACTGAGGAAATGAGAATTGGAAAGAGGGCTGGGATGGGAAGCTTTGGTCATGAGGAGCAGTTATTTTGGGGGGAGCAGAGCTTCTGGAGAGCTAGGGAGTTTACTATTTTTTCTCCAAGCCACAACCTATTGAGAGGGCATGGACCATGATTATTATTATAAGCTTAAACAAAAAGGCATAATCATACTATATTATTAGTTAATCAGTTAAAAAACAACAGCACAGCCATTTCAGCTCATAAAGCTTTCAACAAAACGCAGCTTGCAGGTGCTTGCAGT